CTCCTTTTGTTCAGTCAACCTTCGAAGGATAAGGCCAGAGAGCACCTTCGATGCCACAGCTAACAGGCTGATGCCACGGTGGAGGTGTAGGCACCTCAAGAATGCTTGGCCAGCACCAGGTCCCTCGCTCACCCACTCTTATCCTCTTCTTTTCACTAAGGCTTTAAATGTAATTAGACGAATCTCATTTTTTATGGCAGTGAAACATCAGTGTCAACACTGATGTTGCTGTCTTCGATGATGACGACATTAGTTTATTTTTTTCTAATTCACGGACACTACACTACGTCGAGGCGAGTTTGTCCTACGCGGTGTCCTAAGTGTCTTCAAAACTTCTTTATCTGTTGAAAAAGAGCCTTGCGTGCTGGATAGTGGCCTGATGTGCGAGGTTCATGTCTTAACTAGCGTAATCTATAGGCGTGAATAACTCATCCACCAGGGAGGACTTTTTCCCATTAGGAATACCCAAGCACTTCCAACCCAATGCTCTTACCACACCAGGTCAGCGCTTTGAAAACATTGATGGTCAAATACCGAGGGTTCTCTGACACCATCTGCGGCTACGTTTCTGATCTACAAAGGGCTATTGACCGTACTGTTGTGGTGTGCCCTCTGCACTTGACAGACAAACTAAAGCCACGACGGCGCCATTGGTTTTGAAGACGGTCAAGAGATTCCCTGCCTTCCTCCTAATCATTATGGACAGCATGACACAATTGTTCAACAGTGATGCTTCGCTGCTGTGCAACCATGATCTATTTGAAGCCGAATTGTGAAGAAGCGAATAAAGGTCAACAAGGAAGGGATTTAGTGCTCGCTTATTGCAATCATCCTGGGGTGCCTACTCCTCCAGACACTCATCCAGGCAGCATGAATAGAAACCGACAACAAGAACGCTATTGACATCGATTAGCACCCATATCTTACACCGTCTCCAACCAGACGCAACGGGGATCACCCGGTCCCCATCCTGAAGAGCGTATGGCACCGATAGCACCCAAACGTTTCGTGATGTCTTTAATACCCCGCTGCCAGATCAAGGGATAGCCATCTCTCTGGTTCCCCCAGTGAAGTAGGCACGGAAAAAAGCGCTCTCTTCGCCAAACGATGGTTCGGCATACACAGTACATGGCCTAGCCAACGCGGCTTCTGGTGGTGGACACATTCCTCAATGGAAGTCCCCGCCATACAGCCGGAAACTCTTATTGCCTCGTTACGGATTCGCAGACAACCCACATTGGCTTTGGTCCCGAGGCAACGATTGCCAAACACCTGAAGACGTTTCAGTTCCGTTGCTCTAACAGGCCAAGTCTCACAGCCATACAATAAAACAGCCTGCACTGTAGCCTGATACACACGTCCATTGAAATTCAGGAATATACCGCTTTGACGCCATAAGTGTCTCAAATTAGCAAGCGTGACCCGAGCCTTGCAGATTCGTGCATGCATTGACCTCATCTGTCACACTACAACCAGAACTAATACAACTTCCAAGGTACGTAAACTGCTTCACAACTTCGAGTGCCTCTCTGACGTGTTCAGTGACTGCACGTCCACGAGAATGACCTTACACTTTGTGGGTGAAAGGCGCATATCCAAAAACACCTGTGTCTTCTATCCGAAGATGAAAACGGTATCG